ACCGCACAGCTCTGGAGAGCAGCCAGCCCGGGGGTCCCTGCCCAGGTCCCCACCACCGTGCTGGGGCTTTGCAAGGAGCTCCTGGAGGGTGTCAGCCCCGTCCTCGTGCCCCTTGATTAATCACCAAAGGCCACCCTGCCAATCAAGGAAAGATTTACAAGGCAGGCAGGAAGCTCTTGTTTTTACAGGAGTGCCTCAAACACACGCACACAGTAGGAAAAGCAAACATTCCAGGCATACCAAGGGATCCACGGGATAAAAATTCCCCAAACAGCCCAGATTAAGATACTTGGCTGCACATGGAAACACTAAAACCTGGGCTCAAGGATTTAATTGTCTTATTTAGCAGCGAGCCCTGTGGAACAACCTGAGTGGCCTGGGAACAGCCAGCCCTGGGGGGCAGGGAGTGGGGTCACTGGTGCTGCCCTCCCTACAATAAAGGTCAGGGCTGGCCCCCACCCCTCTCCCAGCTCCATATGGTCACCAGAGCCTTGTGGCAGAGTTTAATGCGAATTTTTCCTTTGGAAAGGCTCAGCCCAGCTCCTGGGTGAGTCAGGCAGGGTCGCTCTGAATCAACAGAGAGCTGAGTCCCAGCCCAGGGGAGCAGGGGGAGCCTCTGCTCCAGCTCCAGCCCCGACACCCCCGGGCTCAGAGGGGTGCTCATGGTGCTGTGTCCATCCCTGCCAGCTCCCATCCTGCCCTGAAGGCTCTGGAGACAGTGGGAACACTCCCATCTTCTCCAGTCCCACATTCCAGCCCAGAGAAGCCACAACTTTGCTGTCTGACAGTGACATTTTGGTGTATGGATTTTACAGGACCATGAGAAAGGCAGGAGGGAACTGCTGGCCCTGGAAGTGTCCAAGGCCAGGCTGGATGGGGCTCTGGACAGCCTCTTCTGGGGGATGGTGTCCTGTCCCTGCAGGGTGAGAAAGCAAGAGGGCTCAGACATTGTTGTGAGATGGAAATATCCTCCCTCTGGAAGGGTTGGGGCTCCCAAATATCCTCCCTCTGAAAGGGCTGGGGGTCCCCCAATATCTGAAAGGTTTGGGGGCTCCCCAATATCCTCCCTCTGGAAGGGTACAAAGGCTCCCAAATATCCTCCCTCTGGCAGGGTTTAAAGGCTCCTGTCTCATCTTTCTGCAAACCACACCACAGAGAGTGGAACTGGACCTCACCTGTTACAGATGGTTTGTCCACTTCTGCCCCAAATCCAGCTGCCAGTGGCTTGTCCCAGCAGGATGCTCTGCTTGCACTCATGGATGGCTTCTGGAAGAGCAGAGGGACTGGCAGGGAAATAAATCCCCTGGTCAAAATGGGAGTTAAAGGGAAGCCTGTGCTTGAGATCACAGAATCATGGAATGGTTGGGGTTAGAAGGGGCCTTAAAGCCCATCCAGTTCCACCTCCTGCCATGGGCAGGGACACCTTCCACTATCCCAGGTTGCTCCAAGCCCTGTCCAGCCTGGCCTTGGACATTTCCAGGGATAGCGCAGCCACAAATTCCCCAAGCAACCTGTTCCTTATCCCGAAGTGCAGCCCATGAGTGGAGCTGCCTGCCCCAAAATGTCACCCCAGCCCCTCTCCTGCAGCCCAAGCTTTCCCAGAGCTCCCCATGGCTGTGGGGATGCTCCATGGGATACAGGGGTGGGATCACGGCTTGCATTGCAGCACATCATGTCATTCCTGTGAGCAGCTCCTTGTGCTCCTCCTCTCTTTCCCCTGCTCATCACCAGCAGCAGCCCAGGACCAGCTCATGGCTGGGGCATGGATGCAGCCCTTCAGCAGTTGGTTCTGTCCCAGTAAACATTAGCTTTTATGTGGATTGTTTCAGCATTCTCTGGACACTGCCAGGGCTGTTTTGAGTGTGCAGCCCTTTCCCAGAAGCCAGCACCTTCCCTTTCCGGGGCTTTTCCAAGTGCTCTGAGGCTTCCAGCTTGGCAACTCACATCTGAAGTCACTGGAGAAGCCGTCCCAAGGGAGATGAGCACCACAAACAGCTCAGGGACCAGGGATCCAGCAGCTGTTGGTGGAACAGCATAAAGAGTAGCGGGTCTGGAAGGAAGTGTTGGTGAGGATAATCCCCTGGGTCAGGGATAAATTCCCTGGAGTGTGGGGTTCAGGAGAGCTGATGTCAGGGGGGCCATTGCTGTCACCCAGCCCGGACACTGGGCAGGCTGGAGGAGTCTGTCTTCACACCAGGAGAATTCCCAAGGGCTCCCAAGTTCAGAGTGGTGAAGCCTTTGGGCTCTTCCAGGAGATCTCTGGCATCCTGGGCATCTCCTGCCTCCTGGCTGGGAGGGCCTGGCAGTGGCAGGTGGGGAAATAATGGGGCAGGTGGAACTTCCATCCTGTCCTCAGAAAGGGGTTGTGAGGCCTGCCCAGGCTGCTTCACTTGCCCTCTGTCCTGCCTTGCCTTTCTTTACTTTGCCTTCCCATTCCTCCCCATCCCCTGCCTTTCTTTCCCTTGTTTTCCACTCTCTTACCTTGCCATGCCTTCCCCTTTCCCTTGTTTTCCCTCACCATGCCTTCACTTCCCTTCCTATCTCTTGCTTTGCCTTCCCATCACTTCCTTTGCTTTTCTTTCCCTTCCCTTCCCTTTCCCTCCCCTCCATCCAGGTTAACCCCCTGCCCTACAGGCACAGCTGTTCCACCTGCACTCGTGTAAAATAAAGGGATTTAAAAGACAGATTAAGCCTATTTGTCTTTGTATCACTAAAATCACCTGTGTGCCTAGAACCACCCACCACTTCCCAAATTACCTCCCCAGTGGAATTACTTTGTTATCCCAACAATTTGGGACTGGAACCCCACTGCAGTCACACGAAAGCTGCACTGAAGGTAGAGAGGTTTTGAGCAATGCATAAATAATGAGCCATCATTAATAAATATTTATGGAAATTCTCTGCTCCCCCTCTGCTGTAGGAGATGGGACAGATGTGATCCAGGTCTGTTGAGCAGCCAGGAACTGGATTTTGGTTTGCGTGCATCAAATATCATCACTTTGAGTCACAACACGTCAGTGCTCTGAGCAAGATGCTCAGGGGCAGAATCGGGATGAAGTCATGGAGGGAACCAGCAGCTGCAAAAATACAGGGATTGGGAAATGCAGCCGACGTCAAACTGCTCTGGGAAGGCATGGCAGGAGTTACAACACAGGCACTCCTGGTGTTTTTTGGGGGAAAAAATAAAAAGGGGGAACTTTTGCTGCACGGAAAGCAATAAAAGAAGAAAGAAAAGAAGAAAGTTCTCTCAGTCTGGTGACATTGTTTTCATTAAGGTTTAATTTATTCATGTATTTGGTTATTGGTGTTTCAGAGATTGTGATAGTCTGCACATCAACACTGCGGAAGAGAGAACCAGCTCATGTAATTCCACATTCGTTATTCTGTGTTTGGGATAAACTCATTCCAGCTGCACAGGTTACCGGGACGTGGATGTGCACTGATCACTCCCACCCCACGGACACAGTCTCCGCCTCACGAAAATCCAATCACAGGCGTTAAAAACAATTTGTCAGCCCTAAAATCCTTCTCCTTTCTACTGTCCCGGGAGAATGAGGAAGGGATTGAGGGCGGCTCTGCAGGTCCTGCGTGAGGCTGCCGTGCCCTCTGCTGGGCTCCGCATCCAGGCTCAGCCTCCTGGAAATTAAACCCCAAAAATAACCAGGAAGGTCTGTTTAATTGTGAAAAAATGCATTTTTCACATTAATTAACGCAGACCCCACCCTCGTTTAGATTCCCTGCGGAAGCTCCTGCGGGCAGAGCTGCCCCAAAGCGCTTCAATTTGCCCCTTTTCCTCCCTGCTTTGCTTCAAATAGGCTTTTTGCTCCTGAGAAAAATGCTGGAGCCAGCTTGCAGCCAACAGGAAAAGCATAAAAAACCCCTTTTGCCACCGAAATTCGGGAATAAGGAGCAAGCATTACTGCACGGCTGGCTGTAGTTGCTACACGTGCTTGTTAGCCAGGAGATACCAATCTATCAGCAAAGTGTTGCATATTCCCGGGCAATTTGTTACTTTTAGGGCCCCTCAACTGGGTTGGGCTCCCAAAAAGGTTCCTTCTCCGTGATGGGCAGCACATGGACCATTGGCACCCCATCAACGGGAATGACCCAGCGGCGCCGTTCCCGGGGCGCCGCCCGCACCTCGCGCTGGAAGCCGCGGCTCGAGCCGCTCGGTCGCGGGTCAGTCGCGACAGCAGCAGCGGGCGAGTGCGATGCCGAGCAGGGGAACTCACCGATGCGAGCCCAGCGCCGCTCGGTGAGCGCCGGGGAGAGGATTCCGCACCGGGGGCACACAGGGGCCGGTCCCTGCTTTTCCTGGTATGCCGTGGGTTCTGCCCTCCGGGGAAGAACCAGAGCGCCGGGAAATGGCCAGCGAGTCCCCACCAAAGCCCGAGGGCCGAGTGCCGGAGCAGGGAAAGCTGAGTGTGCCAGGGCAGAAGCTCCTGACCCGGCAAGGGGACAAAGCTCTCGACTCTTGGAGTAGGGAAACCCCTTGCCTCTGGGAGAGGGCAAAGCCCTGACCCAGCCGTGGTAACACTGGGGGAGAGAAAACGGGGCAGGAGCAGAATGGGCAGAAATGGCCCAAATTGTGGCCGGGGAGTGTTGTAGAACACGCGCGCACGTGGCTCCGGCCCGCCGGGCGCGGGAGGGGCGGGGCGAGGCCAGCAGGGGGCGGGGCGTGTGTGATGTGGGCGGCTCCACCAGGGATGTGGGCGGGGTGTGTTGGGCTGTGGGCGGGGCTGTCGGGGCGGGGCGTGTGTGGCTGTGGGCAGGGCCATCAGGGTTGTGGGCAGGGCGCCATAAGTGCTGTGGGCGTGGCGTGTGTGGCTGTGGGTGGGGCGTGTGTGACTGTGGGCGGGTCCATCAGGGCTGTGGGCGCGGTGTGTGTGTCTGTGGGCGGCTCCATCCGGTTTATGGGCGGGCCCCGTGTGTCCGCGGGCGGGGCGTGGCCGCCGTTGGCGGCGCGGGGCGGGGCCCGGCGCCGGAAGTGCGCGCGGTCCATGTACCAATGGCTGCTCGCGGTCCTCCGCGCCCTCCGCGACGCCGCCCGCCAGGCCCCGGCCTCGGCCCTCGCCCTCAGCCCGGAGCCGCCGCGCCGAAAGAAACCGGCCCCCAGGTCAGCCCTTCCCTTCTCGCCGCGCTGCTGCCCCGCTGCCCGGCCCGGTCAGCCCCCTCACGGCCCGCCGCTCCCCGTGTGGGTGTGGGCAGCCCCTGATTAAGCCCAGGTGTTGCCCATGAAGCGGCCCGCAGGTGCGGAGGCGATTGTGGGTCGCACACACCGGTGCTCGCTGGCTGTGGGTGCCAGGTGTTCCCAATATCCCTTCATTCCCTTTCCGCAGGCACGGGGAGCGGGGCTGGGCATTTAGGGCCGGTGTATTGGGGAGCAGGGCACACACACACAGCCGTGGGTATGGGGGGCTGCGGGCACGCCATGGATCGAGGCTGGGGGTGGATAAAAGGATGGTGCCTGCCCACATGTTAACCATTGTGCTGCCGGCGGCGATGGCCGAAGCCCCTGGGTGCCTGCTGCTCTGTGGGATGTACGGACGGCACTGTGTGCTCTGGGGCTGGGGAAGGCGGCTGCTCCCTCCCTCCCTCCCTCAGTGCCCCAGGACAGCGACAGAGACCAGGGAATGTCTCTGCAAGGAGCCCCGCGTTGTGCCCGCAGTTTGCACCGAGGAGCAGCTCGGAAGGAATTAGCTCTTGGGGAGGGGGGAATAAAAATAGGAACGTTCTTTGTGCTGTGTTCCTAAAGGAGACGTTTTTAACGGACTTAACGATGGTATCAGCCGGTGAAAATCCTTGGGTGGGAAAGGGTGAGGCTGGGGATTGTTTCAAGGGTTTGTCCCCGAGCTGACTCAGCAGGAAGCTGCTGGAGTGGATGTGAGCAGGGCTGGCATTCCCACCTCGCATTTCCTGTTCTGCCCAAACTTTCCTTTGAGTGGCGTGAAATTGGATGGCTTAGTGACCTCTGGAGTGCTTCTTTCCTGGAGGAAAAGGGGAAGCATTGCATATTAAGGCATTTTTTGGTGGTAGAGGCAAACACAAAGCACGTGGAGGCATTAACAGAAGGAGAAAATGAGGCCTGGTCTGCTTTAGTGGGGTGATCAGCTCTCTGGGAGGTGATGTTGGGGAAATAGGAAAGCCCCCTTTGGAAGTTGAGTTGTGCTTGCAAAACATTGTTCTGTCTGTTCTTCCCCCAGTGTTCTGTCACCTGTGGAAGATCCTGAGGAGATCCCTGCAAAGAGGCCAAAAACAGGTATAGCCCCTCACAGAGAGGTTTTATGTGCCTGATTTTTGGGTTTGGGGTACCTTAGGGAGCTCTGGATTAGGTACTTCAGGAAGCTGTGGGTTTTTGAGCCTCTCCTGTGGCTGGAGGGACCTGGGCCCATCGATGATGTGGCACTTGGGACATGGGGCAGTGGTGGCCTTGGCAGTGCTGTGGAAACTGTTGGACTTGATGCCCTTATAGGGTTTATCCAACCTTGATGATTCTGGGATTTTCAAACCAAGTACAAGATGGGAGATCCTGGTCAGATGAAGGCAGGAGGAGAAGCAGGGAACAACTTTCCATCCTGGGAGGGCCATGGATAAATCCTGGCAGGGCATATCCCAGCTCTTCCTGGCACTGAGCCCTGCAGGGCAGCACAAAGAGCATTTTCAGTCAAGGCTGTTGCTGTTCCGTGGGGGATGTGGAGCTCCCTGATTCCTACTTGGGAGCAAGATCCTGGGGTGCTGCTGGGCTGTTGCAGTGTTGTTGAAATGAGTTTTCTGCTCCATGTGGGATCAAGGAGCTGGGCTTGGGTGGAAGCAGGAGTCCCAAGCCCCATTTCCAGTCCCATTCCTTATGGCCTGGTGGTGTGGTTTTTCCAGAATGTCTCTCTGGGACTAACAAGGAGCCTGAAGAGGTCTCTGTGGCTGCCAAGTTGCCACAGAAGGCAACAAGTAGAAGCCAGGAGACTGAAGAGAGAGATGACTTTTCCTTCTCTGAGTCTGAAGATGAGGTGAGCAGGGATTTTGAGCAGGTGTGGGACCCTGTGTTACAAAAGTGGTGCCATCAGTGCCCCTGCCTTCTGCTGCACCCCATGGGCAAAATCATGGGCTCTGAGTCAGAACACAGCTGGCTGGATTTCAGGAAGGGGAGGTGCTTGCTTGGATTCACATTCAGGTTATGCTCACCCTGGTACTTGCTTTTATTTCAGGTTGTGTACATTTCTTCTGACTCTTCGTTTGTAGCATCTGCAGAGGATGAGGACGCAACAGAACCTGGTAGGGCTGACAGCAAATCCTTTACTTGTTCCTTTCTCCTGGTGCTCTGGGGGCTGGTTGCTGAAGGCAAAATATCTGGGTAGCACCCAGGAATAGTGGAGGGTGAGCTCTGTTTCTTCCCTGCATCCTCTGTTGCTTCTGGATTGGAGCCAGGGCTGGGAACAGGCTCCCCAGGGAATGGGCACAGCCCCAAAGCTGCCACAGCTCCAGGAGAGTTTGGAAAATGCTCTCAGGGATGCACAGGGTGGGATGGTTGGGGTGTCTGTGCAGGGCCAGGGGTTGGGCTGGATGATTCTGTGGATCCCTTCCAAGTGGGATATGCAGTGGTTTATCCCAGGATGCTCATGTGGTTGTGGATCCTGGATATTAACTGCCTTGGATGCAGTTCTAGTGTGTCCCAGTGCTGGCTTGCCAGAAAGAAATTGTTGTAAATGCTGATTTTAGGTAGCAGAGCCTCAGAACCCTTCTGTATTAGGCGTAGGCTGGCGAAATTCTGTAGTTGCCAATATGAAAATATCCTGAAGCAACATAACACAAATAATATTAGAAGTTGAGGGATGAAATGGGAGTAATTTATCTTTGGTGAAGCTCTTTAAATTCACATAACTCCTGTTTTCCTGACCACTTGCTGAGGCTTGTGCTCTTCTCCCACAGACGAAATGCCTTGTGACACCAACCCGTGCATGACTGAGGAATCACCATCCTCTCTTTGTAAGAGAGTTCCATATCTGAGGTAAAAAACCTTCTGTTTTCTTCCACTTCTGCTTTTTAGGGTTTCTTGCCTTTCATTTTCATCCTTGAACTTCCTCTGTTGCCCAACATCCATATTTGTGTCCACAGAGCAACATTTTTCCATATTCTGTGACTCCTCCTGGCTGCCATACTGAGTGAGATCTTAGTTATGTTCTTGCCTTTGACCAATTTTAAACTTTCCCTTTAAATCCAGACAGTTGATGGACTCAGAAGATCAGAGAAAAATGAACAAGTTCAACACTCTCACCCCCTGTGGTACGAGGAAGTGTTGAACTTGGGAAGAGGCTGAGACCAGGAATGCTAACAGAAAAAACCCACAACTACAAAAAAAAAAAATCCCCAAAAACCCCAGAGAATTTCCATTTCCCCAGGGAATTCCATTGGGAAACCCTTTTATGTTTTTCCTCTAAGGATGTTCAGCTACTGCCACAAGTCACCTAGAGAGATATTGGAAAACCCTCCCCAACATGGTCCTGGGCAGCCTGCTGTTCCTCCTTGAATCAGGAGGTGCTAATTAAAACCTAATTAATAAATCAGGAGCTTTGAATGGTCTCTTAACACCATTTCTTCTGCCTTTGTTGTTTGCAGCCTGAGCAGGAATAACCACATCCGAGCTGCTCCTGAGAGCCCTGTCACACCCAGGCCCCCCATCAAGGAGCCAGGTCCCCACTCTCCAGGAGTCAGTGGCACCAGGAGGCCTTTGTGTGCTGCTGAAGAGGTAAATTGGGGAGCAGGGAATTGTTTTGGGATGAAACAGCTGTGGAGTTGCTGTACAGTTAGGCTGAGACAAAAGGAAGGGCTGGGAGTGCTTGCTAAAGTCTCTTTTTTCCTTCCCTTCTGCAAGGATGTTCAGCAAGCAGAAAATAAGAAATACAAAGAGCTCTTGAGTCTGTTCAAAGAGAAATATTCTGGAAGACTTACTTCTCCACGATCAGCAAGACTCAACAAGTAATTATGAGCAAAATAACCCTTAACTTTCTGGTGGTGAGTTTGTTGTGTGTGGAAGGGGAGGAGAATTGATCTTTCCTACTCTCAGGGTTCTGGACAGAATCAAATGTAATGATTGGAATAGTGGAGACAGAAAATTTGACTCTTGTATGTTCAGTGTGTCTGAGCTGAAAGTGGCCAAACTTCTGGATGTAAACTCCTCAAAATGCCCTTTGCATCTTGTCATGGAACCAGTGACAGCATGGCTCTGTTGAGGATTAAACAGCCTAATTTTACTTTATATATTTCTGTTGCTTTCATTTAGCCAGTTGTGTACAAATAGCCGTGTGCTCTGCAGTGAATTGAGGTGCACTGGTAACAAATCACCTGTAAAAACTCTGTCCTTTTCTTCTGCTACACCCAAGAGTTCAAACCAAGGAACCAGGGATGACTGGGAGTCCCCTGAAAGAGCAAAAACCCAGAGGTGCCTCTCCACCTGTGCCACAAAGGACCAGTGAGTATCCCCAGGGCTGCTCAACTCTTGGTACAAGTCCAGCCCAAACAGGGCATTTTCCTCATTATTGGCTAAACTGGCTTTGTGAGGGTTTTACTGAAGGGCAAGAACTGGTTTAAAAATGGTATTTGGGAGCTGTGGCAGTGCAGTTTGTAGCTGGATGTGACCCCACTGCACAGGAGAAGGTTGTACCACCTGTTTTACCTGCTTTTTTTGTACCAGGGGAGGGGGATATTTGACTCTGCACCCTCAGAGCTGCACTGTAATCCCTTTTTAGTGCTAGACAGGACTATTTCCATAAAAGCAGAGCTTCCAAAACAAGTAACCTAATTACTTGTATATTTAATATTGCCCCAGGGTTTTTTTTCCCCCCCTGTTCATTACTTAAACACTTTTTCATCACTAACTCTTTCATATCTTGGACTTTGTGACATGATCATATGGGGATTAAAATTATTTCTGAGCAGGTGCCAGGGTTTGAACTTCGGAGTTGAAAATGCTGATGAAATGTCTGTGATGTCACCCAGAAACTCAGAGCTCTGTGCAGCTTCTGGATTGGGAAATCACCTCTCTGTTCTCATACTGCTGCTTCTCCCTGCAGGTGTCAAACATGGGGATGTTTTCAGCCCCCAGCTGCCTCAGAGGGGTGTCATGATCAGGTGAGAGTCTCTTCTAAGCATGGCTCTTGTTTCTTTTGGCTGTGTCTGCCTCCAGCAGCCCAGTCCTGTCCAGTGTCTCAGTGCTGGGGGAGAGGAGCAGCTGGTTTGAAGAGCTGCTCACAGCCAGTTGTCCCTCAAATCCAGTTCCCCTGTCACAGCTGGGCAGGTGTGGGATGTGCTGGGTGTTTTTTGGGAGAAGGAAGTGGGGGGTGACAGCCCAGGTTGTCCCTGGGTTTGCAGAATTGGTTTTTGCTCCCCAGAGTCTTTCTGCCACACCATGAATGAGCTGGCTTTGCATTTCCTGTGCATCCTGAACAAAAGGAGTAGGGAGCTTGTAAAACCTGGGGGACTGAGGCAGTTTTTGAGGCTTGCAGGATGCCTTGGGTTGGAGTGGATCCAAAAGGGAGCGTTGCTGTCCCCCAGCAGGGGCCAGTGAATTCTGGTGGCAGGATGGGAGTACAGGAGTGAAGGGAAATGGACTTTTGGCTGCAGCTCCAGGGAGGGATTTTGCTGTGGCTGCTTGGTGCCATCCTCTTCCTCCCCTCAGAGTGCAGATGGGGGCAGAGAGAGGTTTGGTTGTGGCAGGTGTGGTTTGGGGTGATTTTGTCCCTGTTCTCTTTCCCTTAGACACGAGCACTGTATTGAGCTGTGCATTTGTCCTGAGTTAAATTGTCACTGTCCCCTAAGCTCAAGGGAAGAGAGAAAATAACTTGTGGAGTGGCATTTGTCACCAGGAGATCACAAAGCACTTGATAGAGGAAGAGCTGGTTGCTTCCCTGTTTTCCAAAGATTAAAACTGAGGAAAAAAAAAAAAGGAGTTTGGCACCTGATGGTGGCAGAAAGTTTGTGAAGCTTCCAGCTCTTCTTTTGTCCTGGTCTGGCTGCTACAAAAGGAGTGGGGAAGGAAACTGAGATGCTGTCATGTGTCAGAATCAGCCTTGAAAAAGCATTTCTTATGCAGAATTTTGGAGAATTTCATGGGGCAGTGTGGCTATCCAGCTCATTTCTCTTTCTTTTCTTACAGTTACTACACACCACCAGAAGACTCTCGTGGTCAGGGAAAGCGAGAGAAACGAGCTGCTTCAGTGGTAAGCTTGAGTTTAGTCACTGCTTCACTTGGCTTTCTGGAAAATATAACTCACCTCTGCTCAGGATTGAGATCCAAAATAAAATTTTAAGTGTGGAAATCAGAAATACTTACCTTGATCTCAGTTTGATACCTGCATGTGGAGGCTTTGTTGGGGATGTTAATCCAAGCCCAAGGAAAACCCTGCCTCTCTGGGCACTGTGGGAATGCAGTCACCAGTCAAATGTGACTTTGGGGATTGCTGCTGGGATGTGTTCACACAACCCCTTGTAGTTTCTTGCAGGATTCTCTGCCCTGTCCCCCCAACAAAGCCCTTGTGCTTCTCTCTGATTTCTGTCCTTGTGCCTGGCAGGGCCAGCGTGAAGCTGAGGTCCCCCAAAGAAAGTTGTTCCAGTTCCATGTGACACCTGTCCTGTCCAAAGACCTCTTCTTTGTGGACAGTGAGCCACTGCCATGCCTGGAAAAGCCAGGAGATGACCTGGCTCCTCTGACAGAGGTACCTGTGCTCAGCAGCAAGCCAGTGCTGGGGCTGGTTCAGCCTGCAAGGCTCCTTGCTCTGGCACTAGGGCTGCACTTGGAGCCTTCTGGGGGGCTGGTGTGCTCCATGTGCTGCTCCACCAGCCCTTCCCCACTGAATCCTTTCTTCCAGGCCATGGAGAGTGAGATCTCTGCTGCCTTTGACAGTGGTGAGCCTGAGGACATCCTGAGCAGGGCCTTCAAGCTCACTGTCACCCGTGAGGACATCTGCACCCTGCAGCCCCTGGGCTGGCTCAACGACAGGGTATGGGATCCTGCACTTGCTGGGAAATCCCCCCTTCCCTGGGCACAGGAGTCTTCCAGGAGCTCCACTGCAGAGCCCAGAAATAGCTGTGCACTCCTTATTTTGGGTACTGTGTGGGCTGCTGTTTCTGGAAGCTTTCACTTGCATGATGCAGCTCCCAGGAGTCAGTCTGGGTTATCAGAGTGGGTGTGGGGGCTTTAACCAGCAGCACAAGTCCTCAGTGTGAAATTCTGGGAGCAAAAGCTGCCAAGCTGGAGTTTTCTCAGCTCAAGGGTGGCCAGCAAGGATATGTTGCTATCTTTTTAATTTAGTGTCTTATCTCACATCTCACTTTGCTTCTCTCTGTTCCAGATCATGAATTTCTACATGGGTCTTCTGGTGGAAAGAAGCAAGAAGGAAGGATATCCAGCAGTCTATGCTTTTAATACCTTCTTTTATTCCAAGCTGAGCTCTACTAGCCACAAGGGAGTAAAGAAATGGACTAAAGGTGTGGATATCTTTGAGCATGATGTCATCTTGGTGCCTATTCACCTCAGAATTCACTGGACACTGCTGGTGAGTCAAAGTGGCTTTTTATTTAGGGGATTGGGAGAACAAAACTAGCAAAGTCCTTTAGTGTTTGGGGTGTGCTTTGTCTAAGTCACCTTCTCACCCCAGGTTGTAGACCTCCGAGAGAAAACCATCAAATACTTTGACTCCTTGGGACAGAAAGGAGACCACATTTGTAAAACTGTCTTGTGAGTAGCTGCTTTTGCTTTTTTTATCCCTTTTGCTTATTTGTAAGGCCTTTTCCCCTCCCCATGTGAAGTGTTTGTGCCCTGTCCCATGGTGCTCCTCACTTTGTACCTCTTCTGTATAGAATCCTCCAGAGTGTCAGAGGTACAAGTTCTCACATGTGCTGCACATCCTGATGTGTCTTTGTCACTAAAAGCCCTTCATCCAGCAGCTTTGTAGGGTGAGAGCAGGAGAGCAGCCTCACAAAGACAAATCCCAGAATCAATGAGGTTGGAAAAGCCCTCCAGGATCACTGAGCCCATCCCATGACTGATCCTCACCTTGTCACCAGCCCAGAGCCCTGTGCAGAGCCTTTCTGCCCTCCCCACTCCCACCCAGCTTGGTGTCACCTCCAAAGGCACTGAGGGTGCCCCAGACCCCTCATCCAGGTCATGGATAAAGACATTACACAGGGCTGGGCCCTGGGGAGCCCTGCTCACACCCCTCACTGTGCCTCTAAGATTGGAATTTTCCCTCCACATTCCTTAAATCCTCTGCTGTGAGGATCCTCTGGCATTTCACTGCAATTTATCTTCCTGACACCTTTCAACAGCTTGTTGTTTTTGTTGTTGTTGCCCTAAATTAGGGAGATGAAAAGTGATTTTTGTGTTGTTTTCAACAGAAAATACTTGGAAGAGGAAAGCAGGGAAAAAAGAAACATTGAATTGACTGCTTCTGAGTGGACTCTTCACAGCATGGGCACAGAGGTATGGGAGCAATGCCTGGATTTGGAATGGGAGCTAGCACTCCTTGTCACAGAGGATTTAACACTGCCCAGGCAAGCAGAGGGAGATGATGTGCAGTTAACTGGGACTGTTCCTTGGGTTTGGGAGTGGTAAAGGGATTGTAGAAATAGGTTTTTAGGAGTAGGTGTGAGTAAAATGTGTGCTACAACCAGATTGCTGCTCTTTCAAGACAGATAAAAATTCTCCATGTTTTTGTATTCCTCAGGAGATCCCTCAACAAAACAATGGAAATGACTGTGGAGTTTTTGTTTGCAAATTTGCTGATTTCATCTCCAGAGACAAACCCATCATCTTCACCCCGGTGAGAGGGGGTGTAAACAGCTCCAGCCTTTCCCACACCCATGTGGGAGCCAGGGAAGCTGCACAGCAGCTGGGGCAGGGGCTGAGGGGTTGTTCCTCATGTCTGGTGTTTGATTCTTGGGCAAAATCGTGGAATCCCAGGGTAGTTTGGGTTGGAATGGACCTTAAGGACCATCTCATTCCAATGCCTGGATGCTGCAGCCAGGGGTTTAGGATATCTGGCCTTTGTAGCTCTTGGGTTAAATAAGTTTCCCCCTTGGAAAACTTCCCCTTGGTTTTTTTGCCAATTATTTGCCAATGTGGTGATCTTTAAATGCCCCTGTAAAGAAATGTGGGTGTTTGTTGGGTGGTTCTGTCACCCTGGTATGAAACCCACCCTGTACCCAACTAGCAGGTGCTCAAAAGCAGCTTCCCACTCAAGAATTTCCTGGGTGTTAATGGAGATTTCCTGCCTCTTTGTCCCCTGGCTTCCCATGTGATGGATTTTTCCTGTTTCTTTTCAGGAACACATGCCTTACTTCCGCAGGAAGATGGTGTGGGAAATAATCCATCAGCAGCTGCTGGGAGACATGCACTGTTAGGGAAACACTGTTCTGTGAAAGAGTAGTATTTATTTCCTATTGTTTAGCTGAGATAAGATAAATATTAACTTATGTAAGAGCCTTATTGTATGGGAGGTTACTTGTTAATAGAGTAATTTATTTTTTAATTGAAAACTGATCTGCTGTCTCTGTGCGGTTTTTAACTTGCTCCCCATCTGAAGAACCGGGGCTGTCTCCTCTCCTGGTGGCCCTGGGGACATCCTTGTGCTGCTCCTGACCCAAAGACCCACAAGGTCCCTGCAGCGGGGCTTTGTCTGTCTCTGCTTTCACTGATTGTGCCAGATTGAACCAATCTCAGGGCAGATTCTCCCAAGAATGAACTCGTGTTTTATCCTTACAAATAATTAATCAGGGATAATTAATATTCCCTGAGGATGCAGAAGATCTGAGCATGAGGATGCAGCAGCTGGGAGTGTTTGAGGTGTCCTTTCACCCTTCCCTTTGGTTCCTCCTGTTTGGGGCTGCAGTTTTGACTGTCCCAGCTGCCACCAGAGCAGCATTCCCAGTGCTGGAGGGGTGGGAGGGAAGAGCCTGACTCTGGAGCTCATGGAGAGGAGTCCCTCATTGTGGCAACCTGTCAGCATCCCAGGCAGTCCCACCCTGCCCCCAAAGGCCATCCCAGCCCCATTTGGTGCCTTTCCCCACTGGATGTTCCATCGAGGGAGGGAGAGGTGGCTTTGTGATGGCCACACTTCCCATTCCCAGGGTAAAACTACACCTGGCAATGCCTACAACCCCATCCAGCCCTTCCCTCTCTGGCAGCGGGGAACTGGGCACCAGGGAGGAACTCCCAGCTGTGACCACCACAAGGAACCCCAAAGAAAGCAACAGAGAGCAGGCTCAGGCTCTGGTTAGCTGGATATATTTCTCTTTGTTGGTGTCTCAGGTTGGTTTTCACAGAACACTTTGCAGTAGAGGAAAACGCGGATTCGCAGCCCACGGGAGCGGCGCTGGCACCGGCACCTCTGCTCCCATCCCTGCTCTGCCCGTCGGCTTTCACCGCTTCCATCCATCACCTGGATTTCCTTAAACCCTTTTTTTTTAATTGTGTTTGGCTTTTTTATTTTTCCCTTTTTTTTTTTTTTGTTCTTTTTAACCATTTCTCAAGCTTTCGCCGAAGGAACAGCCACTGGCTCTTGGCTTGCAGGAGACTACGGAAGAGCTCTGGGACACGGGGGATGGTTTCCTTCTTCCACCTCGCAGCTGACTTGGTCGAGATCATTTTTCCAACTCGGTTTTTTTTTATTACAAAAATAAAAAAATGCTCCAACTATCAGTTTTACAAGGCATACAAAAATCTCTAAAAGGGCAACACAAGCGCAAGGTGCTGAGGTACGAAAACCTGAGGTAGTTTTTCTGTGTGTGTGTGTGTTTGGGAGGGTTATTTGGGTTATTTTTCATTTGAAGCCAATTTTGCTGGTTGGGTTTTCCAGCCCTGGGCTGACAACCTCTTGTAAATCTGGTTTTGTTTTTTTCACCCATTTCCCTCTCCTCTCCCTGCAACAGGGATCTTTTCCCCAAAGATCCCAGTCCAAAGCGGGCAGGGCTGCTGCTGCCCATCATTCTCCAGGGATGTCAGTGCTGGGCAGTGATGGAGAGAGGACAGACAGACAGAAAGGGGGACAGAACAGATGCAAACCCCGCTTTTGGAGGCCAAAGCAAAGAGGAAAGGGTGTGTGAAGGAGAGGAACAATTCCTACATGAGGAATCTTCTTGGCTCCTACAGGCCCTGCTCTTCTCAAAGCCCTTCAGAAATTGCTTTTTAACACTTATTCAGTATTTTTTTCCCTGCTGGCGATCCTACAGCTCTGCTCTACGGTGCATTAGAGAACCAATGAACCAGCTCCTGCCATTAAACCTCTAGAAAAGCCTGCTTTTGCTAAAAACAAACATCCCCCCCTCCCCCAAAAACTTTTTAAAAAGTGAGTTAAAAAATAAAATCTTACAAAACTTAAAAATCGGCGTTAGTTCCGTTACTGATATATTAATTCTAAATTAATGAGCGCCGCGGCCCCCCCCAGGCCGGGCGAGCTCCTCGGGGGTGGAATGGGCAGGTTTGGGGAGAATTCCAAACTAAAAACCACCTCTCTCTCTCTGCCTGGGTTAGTCCGACTGACCGGCGGGGAGCGGCGCGGGAGGTGGTGGAGTAAGGCGGAAGCTGCGGGCTGGAGAGAGCCCCCCGTGCCCCGGGCTGCCAGCCGGGGGGCTCGGGGGTCTTTGGTTTGTCCCCTGACCTGCTGGGGCCGGCGCTGGCGGCGGGGGGTTACATTCGTCGGGCGGTGCTGGCGGGAGCCTCACTTGCTGTGCTGCGAGGCCGCGGCTCCCTGAGCGTGTTTGTGCTCCTGCTGCTTCACCTGCTGCACGATTTCCCTGATCTTGCGCTGGGCAGTCTGCAAAGGGGGCAAGGAACAGGGGTAGCAACACCAGAGCTGAGCCCCCACCAACCCTACAGATTCTAACACCAGGCCAAGCACGTAAGTGATTCTGTGATACGTGAGGATGTGCTAAAGCCAAGCTTTGGCTTGTTTTTCCATCACTCCCTGAGTGTGTTTGTGCTCCTACTGCTTCACCTGCTGCACGATTTCCCTGATCTTGCACTGGGCAATCTAGGAAGGGAGCAAAAAACAGGAGTAGCAACACCAGAGCTGAGCCCCCACCAACCCTACAGCACCACAACCCTACAGATTCTAACACCAGGCTAGGCCAGGCATATGATTCTGTGATACTTCTGCTTTGCTAAAGCAAAGGTTTGGCTGTTCTTCCATCACTCAAGATTTTGGGGTGTCGTCATGCCCTCACAGTCATGAGCCCAGCCTGGTTCGATGCACCCAAGTGGGATGCAGGAGCCATTCCCACCCCGTGTCCAAGGCACAGATTTTGGCTGAATCGAGCCAATCTTTAATTTTAATGCAGCCAAAAACCCTTTCACGGCATCCTGGGTGCACACTCAGAGCAGCTCAGGGGATGCTGTGCTCAGTGGCCTTCCTCAAAGTGGGAATGCTGGGAGAGCCATGGCCAAAGCTTACCTGACTGGCAAAGAAATGCCCAATGATTTTGACGACGACCTCCTCGTTCTCATCCGGGGTTTGGTCTCGCGGCACAATGACTTCTGCGCTCGTTAAGTTCTGCAGTTCATTCACCTGAGCAAATGAGAGATCCAGGTTTGGCTGGGGAAGAGACAAAATCCTCCACTGCTGGTGCCACTCCAGCTCTGAGCCATGGCACCAGGCTGCTCACACCCTGTCCCCTTGGAATGGCCATCCAAGAGCCACCACCAGGACAAAGGGACTGAGACATCACTGATAGCACAGAGCACCCGGCCAGAGCTGATGGGATGGATAGGGGATGGATGGGGGATGGATAGGAGACGTCCAGCCCTCTATTCCCAGGCCAGGTGGGACCCCACACACCCCACCTACCGTCTTGCCACCCTTGCCAATGACACGGCCGGCGGCGAAGGAAGGCACCTTGATGTGTGCTTCGAGCTTCACTTCTTCTTTCGGGTTAAAGAAGTTCTCCTCTTTCAGCTTCCCAAATATTCGCCCCTGGGCCTGGAGAGGGCACAAAAGGGACATGGATGTGGTGGGCAGCAGCCTGGAGGCAGCCTGCTGTGCCCTTCATTCCCACAGGCAATGGTGTGGTCCCAAAACCATGGTGCCAAGCTGAGAAGCCCTCCTGGCATGGTGGGGACCAAAGGGATGCTCTCACCTTGCTCCTACCATGTCCCCAAGCCAGCCCCCACCCTGTGGCCATCATACCTTGAACTGAGCCTCAGGTGGCCCTGTGATGATCACCATGCGCTCGCTGGCATCTGGACCTTCTGCTGGGGCAATCTGCAGAGGGATGGGGAGGAGTGTGAGTGTGACCCCTCCTTGGGCAAGACCTCACCTCTGTGGGACACCCCCCATTCAGGGACACTCCCCTACCCAAGCAGTGGTGACAATCAGGATACTGCAGGACTGGGTTTCTACTCATCTGGGTAGCAAAACCGTTCACCAAGGCCTCCCTGCTATACCTTCAGCAGTGGGAAGGGGAAACTGAGGCACAAAGCCCTGATCCAGCCCCTCATTCCCGCTCACCTTGATGGAGGCACCAGCAAACCGTGCCAGCTGCTTGATGTGCTGCCCCTTCTTCCCAATGATGGCTCCCACCGCCTGTGTTGGGATGAACAAGTTCACAACCTCCTGCTCCAGCACCTGGAAAGGGCACAAAGAGCCAGAGGGTCAGGGGGCTGCTTCCCCCTGCCAGCATTCCAGCCTTGAAAAGGTGGTGGGCTGGGTTGGGTTGGGTTGGGTTGGGCTGGGTTGGGTTCTCTTGAGTCGAGTTGTGGTCCTGCCCTGCCACAAGGTGCCCAAGGAAAAACCTCATGGCAGGAGGTGCCAGGGCACTTTTGGGGAAGGCAAACTTACGGGGTGCTGGTGGGGGAAGGCTCCAGCTGGGGGGGCTCCGTACAGACTCGACAGATAGGCTGAGGAGCCCTGCGGTGGGAGAGAAAATGAGGGGCAGTGACATCAGCGATGTCCTCAAGGTGCCAGCCCCTTCCCAACACCCCCACCCTGACATGGGGAGTGTGTCACCACCAGGAGGAGGAACACAGAGACCACAGGCACATCCAAGGATGAGCTGCAGCCCGGATCCTGTGCCTATGGCACAGCACGAGGCTGGGAAGGGGAAGGGAGCTCCTAGTAAACCCCAGTCCCTCCCCACTGCTGCTGTTTTGGCTTTGTCCTGCTGATGTTTGTATCAGAAAAAAACATCTCCTTCTGGCCTCACCAGGGGGCTTGAAAAAGGCCACATAAAGCTTTGTGGTGAAGGACCCCACACCAAACACTGCCCTTCAGGAGACCTGTCCCGCTCCTCTCCATCACACCCCACATAAATAATTCCCACAGCTGTCTCCCCAAGGTTGTGGATACAGACACAGCACCCTCCCTCCACAGGCTGAGAGTGACCAACCAACCCACCTGGAGCCCTCCAGAGCCACCCCACACTCCCCACATACCCCCAGCACTCACCGTCCTCCTCCGCCCGCTCTGCTGCTGGCATTGCAAGGAGAGAAAACAGCACAGGTAAATTAACCCACAGCTCAGAACAAATTACTTAGGGACCAATGGAGGC